ACTTGGAAGTTGAGGATGAGGGGCAGTATGTTGAGGTTCTTTGTTTCATTTTTTCAGTCCTATTTCTCATTCGACAAATCAACAGATATTTATTTCGCATACAGCACGAGCTAAACATTCTGATAGCTCTGGGTATACAGCAGACAACAAGATTGAGTCTTTGGCCTCAAGGGGCATACGTACGGTATACACACATAGCAGATGGCAATGTTAGACAAAAAACTGCCTACAGAACAGAGAAGATACATAGGATCTTGAAAACCCTGTATGGCGCCACCACCTCACAAGCCATTTATTAACTTTGCCCTCCTTGTGAAATGGGAAATAACTATTACAAGTAGTTGTTTGGCATTTTGGAAATGAAAAATGCTGTGCAAGAGCCGAGTCATAGAAAACAAGATTAAATTATATGGTAGGAATGGTTCTTATAGGTATGTCCAGTATTCATGTATAAATACTGGTCACTATAGGACCGCTACCAGGGAAAAGCTAAGTTAGGTAAATGCAATTGCCTAGGTTTTGCCAAGACAAGAAAATACCTGTGTATATTGGCAAGAGTGATTATGCAATTTATATTACTTTGGGTAATGCAGGAACTAATATAGTTGGAATCTCACAAAGTATGGGATTTCCACATGCCTACAGCTTCTATTAAGGGTCTTCTGCATTTCAATGTTTATTTTGAAGTATTTCTTTAACAATTTTTAAGCGCTGCCACTCCCCAAGATTGTTAATCTACCCACAAGCGATTATATTTTAATATTCAGAAACTACAAGAAGGTTCGTTAAATTTATATGGAATGAATATTTATCTTTATGTGATTAACCTATCAGTATATTGGGTTTGGGGGAGTCATTATCAGTGATTTATGATACCCGATTCCTTCCGATTTTACCTGTGTTTTTAAAGTTTGTTAACTCTCTTAGAGAACTAGGATACCAGTCTACATCCCATCCGCCATCCTCAGAAGATGAAGAATTTATCGGATTGGGCATTTCTTTCATATGCTTTTATATGGTCACATTCTTACACTGAACATTGAGATTCTCAAACTGTAGGAAAAAGAAGAGGTTCTTTTTTGATAGTCATTTAATGTTCCTTGACTATGAACCAATCTTAATTTTATTATTAGCATTTTTATGTTTTTGCCAGCATTTTCACCCTAATTAAATGAGGCACTACACCACAATGTTTAGCCTGTGGCATAACACAAGGCAGATGACCTGTCATTGAGAATCATAATCTTACCTTCTCTTTTTTCCTCTGAACGATATAATTTTTTTGGTCTCAGTTTATAATGACATACCTCTGTAGTTTAACTTCATCACATTCAAACAATAAAAATATGAAAAATTTAACCTTATATGCATGCCACTGATTTTTTTAAAAGCGTATTAGTATAATTATAACTTGGTAAAGAGATCTTATTTTTTACTGTCTTCCCTTGATGTAACAAATGTAATGATATGGAAGATTTCCATACAGTTGCTTATTATTTTATTTGTTCCATGTATCAGTGCTTTGGTTTCTAACATCCTTTTGTCCTTATCATATTATCTCTATACATTTCCATTTAGGATAAAAAGATAGAGCATGAAAATTAATAACCCATGCATCAGACCATTTTGCCATGCTTAATAGGAATGAGCAATTAAGGCTAGAAACCTCAGTGTTTAATGCTATTTTCAAAACTCAGTTATTCCATATATTGTCACTTCAGTGATTAAAGAGAGTAAGTATAATATGTAGTCAGATTAAAACAGGCTAACTAAACCAGTGTTAAAAAAAAAAAAAAACTATGGTGTCTGTGCATTGCATGACAGAGTACTACTAAAATTTGCCTAAATTCTCGTGATGTTTTCGGATATTATGGAAATGCTTTGGCTATATTTGGGTTTCAATGTTCATCATGACAAAGGTTCTAACAGTTATTTTTTAAAAATACACTATCCTGTTTTTAGAAAGTTATAACTCATCTTCCTGGTTACATTTGTGATAAGTTTGTGAAACTTTATGAAAAAGGTAAAACTTTATGTATACTTAGATTTTGAAAGGTAGCATCCTATGCATTTAAAAAGATTTTTTGGTAACTTGGCACTTTGGTAAAGGAATGTGCAATTATAAATGTTTATGCCATTTTGTTGTCTTTTTTTTTTTTAATCACCAGGAATTACTCTTACTAGGCTTTAGATTGAAAACCAAACCCAATTTGAAGACTGGCACTTTTTCCTACCTGCAGTTCCTGTTTCTCTATGTGGAACATTTCATTTAAACCATTCTTTGCAATGAGTTTTCACTTTCCTCCTCCCTCCTAACCTCAAAAACCTTTAATTTAGGGAACATTTTAAATTAATCCAGTGGTAGTTAGATAAGCATTTTAGGTAGCATGGACATTTAATCTGGTGCCTGACTTTAGTATTCTTCTGACAAAAATAGCTAACCTCCTGAAAAAGAATATTCAAACATTTTAATTAATTTGTATTGGTTATAATCAATTGAGTAAGTCGATGTCCATATAGTCATAATTTATCTTAAAATCGGGGGCTGCCAACATAACTAACTACACAGCATTGCTTAAAATACCCTCATATATTCCAAAGAGAAATGACAAGAAGAAATAGAATTCTGTATGATTATGGCTATTATATACACTTCTGTTAGGTTTCCAGTATTTTACTGTGATACACCCATGGGTCGTAGAAGCAAACTGAAAACAAATATAAATGCTTTAACATTGGATGTTGGCATACAGTACAGATTATGCATAAGCTATTGCAATAAAAAAAATACTCATTGTGCCTGTATTTGAAGAATTTATCTTAGATTTTCTCTGGCCTTTTTTACTTAAGGCTGCACATCATTTAAATGTAGAGACAACAGAATATATGAATGAATGAAATGATGGCCCTGTTGGCCATGGGATAAATATTCTGTTGAATTTTTGGAGAGCATTGGCGGTTGTCTATTATGACACAAACTAGACTGTTCACAAGCCACCTGTGAGTCTTAAGTACAAATCACAGCATTTAGAAATACATCTTTCTTTTTCCTCGCAAAATGAGTTCAGACTTTATAATTCAGATTTATAATTTTAAACTGATGATTATAAAAAGTACCTAATATGAATTAAAAGATAAATGAAATAAGACCTATGAAAGAATGCTAATTAATAGCATAACCCTATATACTATCACACTTCTGATAATGTTAAGTTTCTTATAAAGCCTTAAAATATTTTAGTGAAAAATTAATTACCTAGAAATGAAGGCACTTTATTACCTTGAACTAGCTATTTGTCTGTATAGAATTTGTCTAAAATCCCAGAAAATATTCTTTATCCTTTTATAAATTTATCCTACTTATGTGTTTTTCTAAAGCTTCTTATAATAATTCAAACTATTTTAACTTAATAGAAAATTCTGTTACATGATAGAACCAATGAACAATTCAGAAATAAAACTCGAGAGTAACAAAAATGTGTGTGAGGACAGCAAAACTGTTAGTCTAAGTTAGTCTACAATCATTTGAGGTTAAAATGTAAAATTTGAAGGCTTTTTCATTGAATGATTTTCAGACAGCTTTATTTTTTAAATCTTATCTTTAATTGGTTCTACCTTGTGTTGAAATGTTGGTCAAATATAAGGGCAAGTGAAAGTAGTAAGCCAGCCTGTCATAACTCAGTTTTCTTTATTTGGGTTTTTTTTTTTAATGTAACCCTAAAACATTAAGAAATGAGTTTTGTTTCTTCTATGTTCAAGTCAGCCCTGCCTGGCAAATTCTCAAATTTAAATCAGTAATGTGGATGCACAGCTCTGTAGCCGCTGTGCCCTCTTCAGAAAGTTAATAGTTGATTTACACAGGGATTTGATTCAGAAGAAAAGGCATAGGATCATTTTTTTTTTTCAAAAGTTAACTTTTTCCCGAAGTTCATTCTTACATCTTTCTGACATTTATAAAACATAGGCTAACTTTTATCCAAGAATGTTTTTTAACAGAAGAATATTTCACAGCAAACAAACTTTGCTTTCTTTTTTGTTTGGGGGCAGTTCACTTAATAAAAAAAACATTGGTCTATAATTACACTTATCTTTAGTTCTTTTTCTGTGGTGGCCATTTTTCTATCACTAGTTTTAAATGTTTTACTAAACGTAAATGCTGCTTCATGGACGCAGTTATCATTACATAGTACAGACAGAAGTCAAGTTTATTAGCAGTCTACTCTTACCAAGAAGAAACTAAAAATAAATTCCATGTCAGTTCTTTGGTTTGTATCTTGGTATCTTTTTTAAATACGATATATTAACCCAAAGGTGTGTTAATGTCATGGCATGAACAATCTTAAATGTAGATCTATTGAGTATTTTGTGATGCTGAGTAACAAATTTTTCTCAAATCTCTGTGATGCTAAGTATTTTCCTTAGGAGGTTTTGTTTCATGTTAGATTGTTGTTCTAAAAGATGTTGGTCCTAGTGAGATTTTTTTTTAACTGGGAAAACAAATAAACGCATGTATTACAAGTATAGAAATGGTGAATTGTAAACTTACCGTATAATAACGATTCTATTTTCAAAAATGTTTTGCTGTTAAATATATACAACATAAAATTGCTGCCATACTGTAATTGAGTACTTTTTCTTAAATGACCCTGTTATCACTATTCCAGAATTAGAAGTTGGGCAGATACATGATTGATTCATGTGTCTGCATAGATGCTTCAAGGTATATTCTTCTCTTGGTGAGTAAAAATATATTTTCCTTGGCATCAATGCATTGAGATCTGAATATACCTGTATCTATCTATTCCTATTGCACATTTCTTATACAGTCTCTTCTAATATGCCAAAATTGGCCTCCACACAACTTAAAATTGAGGGTTTGTTACATGCTTTCTAACAGAAAGGTTTTCAATGATATTCATTATGGGTTTGTACTGTGAAAATAGTGAAACTCCTTTTGAAATTTCATATATGCTAAATTTAAATTAATATTTTTTCTTTAGCTCAAATTTCCCTAAATCCAGAGAGAATATCAACCCTTTTCACTGTTGTCAAATCCAGCATAAGGAACAGCCCTATGACACTACAAAAACAGTTGAGGAATAAGGAATAAGTCTCTTATGTTACACTTCAGAATAAAGGCATTGTGTGAACGAAATGAACCGAAGTTCATCGTGAATGCAAGGCTTCTGTACTTGACATTCCTCCACCGAAGGGAAGACAAGTGTCAACACCATTGGCATCATTTTCAAACTGATCTTAAGTGGAGTATCTTCCACCACACTGGAGTACTTCTTGACTCTTACCGGGTTTTGGTTTGGGTTTGGTTTGGTTTGATTCATCGAGGCTTTCAGTTTACAAAAAAAACCATTTGTCGGCACTGAGGTAGAGAGACATAGATTTGAAAATACTTTCTTAAGAGATCATGTAACTATATAACTCAATTTCAAAAGAGGAGGAGGGATAGTTTCAACCCACTGCCTCTCACAAGAAACATGTTTTTAAATCTGTAACTGTTTTAGTGTTAACAGGGTACAAAATGTTTTTGTCCTGTATTGTACTTAAAGGTTCTCATTGATTGGTGATTGTATTGTACTGTATGAAAACAAATCATAAATTGCCTTGTATTGTTTATAATAGACCATACCACGTACTACTTCAGTTTTTATGTTCCAAGTTTTCCAGTGATGCATGTTAACAGTTAGGTCCTAAAATTCTGTGGTGCTAATCCTTCCATATCCAATGGTGCTTTTGTGGATGCTAACTGCACACATGCTGAACAAAGCTTGAAGTTTAAAACTTTCCTCCCTTCCTCTGTTTATATAAAGTAAAATGAAATAACTTGAATTTTGTCTCAAAGTATCACTGACAATCTAATAAACTGGTTTATATGTGTGATTAGTTTGGATTCTTAATTATTTTTCAGAAAGCAGATTATTTCTACTGGGCCCTTCAGTCAACCAAAAGTTGATTTTACTATGTGTTTATTTCATTATGTCATTTGTGCCCCAAATTTTGTGGTAACTCTGGGAAGTTAGATCCAGTTGGCCTAGCTTCCATAAGCAAGTCTATGTTGGATCTACAAAAACTAGACCTATCAGACATGGAAATTAGTACGTTGAGAAAACCAAAAATGTGCCATTAGGGTGCCTTTGTTTATTTCAGTATTTTATTAATAAAGTTTTATTATCTACTTGATCCATGATAACATTTGCATGGAAACAAGCATGCCTTCCGAACCTTTATTATGGCTCAAATGACATTGAAAAGGTCATTCCTGTATGCTGATATTTAAACTAAAAGTTCCACTTCACATGTCTGAAAACATGGACAGAAAAAATAAAATTGGACCTTTCCAGGACAAACTGATTCCATATGCCAAAATGGCATGGTCTTACTGGAATTTTTAATTTTAGCATCAGCACCAAGAATCACAGCATTAGGACAAGTGAGGCTGCTATCCTCATGAGGGCAGAGGTCTGCTTCTCCCACGCCAGAGATAAAGTCAGTATTAAGGCAGAACTTGCATTCTAATCTTGGTCTTTTGCCTAACCCGTGGGTAACCTTAAATTTAAAAAGAAAAGATCAAAACAAATCTATTAAGGCTCTTCAAGCAACAATCATTGATCTCAAATAGAAGATGAGCAAACCTGTCCATCTAATCTAGTGGGCCCAATGACTGAAATGACATTCCCATGCTGCTGTGGTTCTTTATTTTATAGAGTGTAGGTGCCGCAATTTTGCCTCAAATAGTTATTGCATCATGTCTAACTTCTAATATCAGAAAATAAAGTTTACAGAATAGAGCCAGTATGAACACTGGGCTTGCATCTCCATGACTATCTTGAACAAATGCAGTATTTACTAAATCACAGCTTCTCCAAAGATATTTCTACTGTATATTTTTGTAATTACCTTTACAGCATTCCATTTTATGAAAACTGGCAAATAATGAATGTGCTACAAAATAATTTCAGGTCTTCTTTAATCAAAAAGAGAGAGAAAGTCGGTAGGTCTATGAATGTTTTAGAGTATCTTTACTTCTGCGGTAATATTTTGCCTGTTAAATGAAAGAAAAATTAATTCTAATTTTATGAAAGGATAAAAGGATAAATTGCTTTTGGAAAAATATTTACTTTTTAATCTACATGAAAAATCTCTGATTTTTATCGCTACAGCCACCAGTTTTATGTATTATTGTTCACCATAATGTTTGTCCCACCTAAAAAATTATTCTAACAAAATTTATCAGGTTTTTTTTGTATGAAATTATTTTAAAAACTCAGCCTTAAATAAAATGAGTACACTTTGTAAGTTTGGTTCATTTGTGAAGCTAATGTAGTCTCTCCCTCTTTAAGTTTATTATTTAAGCTTTTTAAAAATTATGTCTGTATTTAGTTTTATCAATATTATTTTGGTAAGTTGTGTTTTCTGTTCCTAAAATAATAATTTCCCTTGAAGATCTTAAGCTCAAGGTGTCATCTGTAAATCTGTAAATGAAAGCACTTTCAATAAAGATCCAGATATTCTCCATTGAGGAACATCTTTTGAAATAAATTTCATGTACATTAAAAGCCTAACCATATTCATCTTAGGGAACTGATTTTTCTCATCAGGAACTGCTTTGAGTTTGAAAATGGCCAACAATAATAGTTTTGCCCTAACTTAAAAAAAAAAAGCCAATCTATAACCTATCTCATTTCCGATTTGGAAATGAGATTTTTTTAAACCATTGAGGTAGGTGCATACTGAGTACTATAGTCACTTTTCTCACCCTCTAGTTTATCACTGGGGCAGTGAAAAGACTCCCAGAAAATACCTAAAAAATAAGTAATACAATTCATGCAAAAACAAATGAGTGGTAGTTCATAAGATTGAATAAAGCATATGATGCATGAGCACAACATTATACATATTCTCCCAAATTGGTCTCATAGTCTGTGAGTGGTAGCTAAAGCTTACACTTTCTGTAGAGCATAATGTTTGCCATCATAAAAGACTTAACGAAAAACGAGCTAATGAAAATATAAAGGACTCTAAATGAAAGGATTGGTCCTCAGTTTGGGGTACGTAGAAGTGCAGTTTTGTTAGTTCCTTCTGAGTAAATACACAAGAGATTCCTTTTAAACAAGATCATAAAGAAAACATCTTGAGCATCAGATTCCCAGGGAAGAAAATTAATTTAGAACAAAAAATAAAGTGTTATTCCCATTGAGTAGGACTGAAAGGAAACTGTGTTTAAGAAGTGGACTTCAAATTTTCCTTTATGTAACTCTTTAAATTATTTAATGGTAAGCATGTATTACTTTTATCATTTTAAAAATGATTTTTTAGAGGAAGGAAATAAATGCTAAATAAATTAGAATACCTGCATCAACTGGTTGCATATTCTCTTTCTAGTAGGATAGTCTCCTTATAAAATCTAATTAATGTCAGGACATTGCTTGACAAGTATAAAATCAGGTAAAAAGAAATGAGTAATATTAATGGACAGCATCATGTTATGATGGGCTCCATAAGGAAATAGAAATAATCACATTAGCTCATCAAAGCAGTCATCCCAAGAAGACTTCCAAGTCAGAGATGGAGATCACTAACACATCCTTATGTTTTGTATCTTTTTTTTATTCCATCTTTCAGTGTGAAAATATTATTGCTTACCGGTATAATTAAACCACATATTATATTTGTATCATTTTAGGCTCCTTAATGGTATAATATATTATAATTATCATTCATCATTAAGCATTAACATTATTCATATATTACAGTCATTATGTATTATATCATTATTACTAATGCAGTCATCATTATTAGTAATAATTAGCCATACTTGGCATTATCCATTCACTATCATAATATCGTTCATCATTAACAAAAGTTTCATATACAACAGATACCCCTCAGGCTGCAACCCTTCTTGATAGAGATTGTGGGAACATCCCAATTCAGCAGTAGCAACTAATGAAGGATTAAAACTCTCTTCCCTTGCCCTCATGGCAGAACGTGTCTATAGATCGTGGCATTCTTTCAATGGACCAGATACAGCTCTAGAATCTTTTTCAACTCAGCACTCCCGGCAGCCGTTACCAGTTGAATAGACTTAGTGTACAAGGTTGGCATATATGTCACTCTGCCTTTGAAGTCTCAGGAACATATAGAAGCCATCTGTGTAAGCCTGGGTCTTTTCCAAGAAGCAGATGCCACGATGGGATTGGATGGAACAATAGAGTTATTAGAGGAAATGCCATTGAGGGAAAATGGAGATGCTGATGGAAGAGCCATCACAGGGCAATACGGGTCTGTACCCTAGGAAGGAGAAGAGAGAAGAAACTAGGGAGGGAGGGAAGAAGGGAGAAAGGAAGTTACTTCTTAGACTTCAGCACAGTTCTAAGAAAGTTTCAGCTAAACGATGGGCAGTCCTTGAGCCCAAGTGACCCTTCAGAGGAGGCCAGCATTTTACAGGTATGGGCTGGCTTAGTATCTGTCACATTCAGTCACAGGCTGCGAGCAGCTAAGGCAAAGCACAACCCCAGTACCAACTCGGTGATGGATTGTAGAGCATCGCAGCTGGTCTGTGGGTCAGTTATGCTCCCCGAAGTAGGAAATCTGAGAGATACATTTTCAGGGCCACCACAGGCTTCTGTCTGCATGGCACCGATTTACAGGTCCTTCTAAGTTGGAGGAGCACCCTCTGGATGGTCCTCATGGGTCTTTCTTCCTAAGGGAAAAACTCAGAAAATAGAAGTCAGGGAATGAAGTGCCGCCCCTGTTGGTGCCCTGGATCTCAGGGTAGCAACCGGAACTTCTCCTCTTCCTCCTCCACCATCCATTCTAAACTACCCCTCACCTTGGCACGACTTGCCTTGGCAGGGCTTGCCTGGTGGTAGGACTCCAACCTTCATTCCTGAGGGATCCGATCTCTTCATAATCATCCCTTCCCGAGCTGGGGTTGCTGTCCACGTCCATTAGCAGTTACAATGGGGCAAGGAAGTACCAGGAAGCTGCCTGCCGGAGTAGATCACACACACATTCCTTCCTCCCTGCCTCCGTTGTTTAAAGCAACACTATCTCCTCCTAACGGTCAGGGTTAATTATCCCTGCCCAGTTGGTGACTCCTCTCCTAACCTGCCAAGTCCTAGGCATAAGGAGTCCCCAGTGTCCTGGCAGAAGCTGTAACATGTAGTTCACTGGATACCAGCTGTGTGACTGTGTGGGGACTAGAACCTCCCAAGCTGCAAAGCTCAGCGCTTGGGGGACAGACAGGAAGCACAAACCTCCAGTGGGTCATTAGTGATGATGATAAGAGAAGCCACTCCTGCTTCCACACCCTTGATTCTTAGATGTACTCTTCCTATTGAGGGCACAGCACTATAGAGAGAGAGAGGTTCCTGGTTTAATGCGCATACTGCGTCTTGAAGGCTGGCATCCCATGCTTTCAGAGTATTGCCTCACATTGGCCCTTCTGCTCTGCCTTTAGAGAGCTGTTTCTGCTTTCCGTAAAGCTGACTGCCTCTGGAGGGTGTGAGAGTCATAGTCATATCCGAGGCCGACTCCATGCACCTCCTTCGCTGGGAAATTGATCCCCTGGTTGGATGCCTCTGTCTCTGCTACCACGTGAACATGCTCTGTCCACATGCCCATTGTCCTAGTTCTGAAGTGGCCAGTGGCAATCTGACCCATGTCCGTTGGCCGAGTCATTTTGTCTACTTGGCTGTTCAGGGCTTCTTCCACGGTGGACGCCTTTGGGTGGGCATTCACTTACCTAAAATGCCTCTACCCCAGACTTTTGTGTTCCAATCTTCTAGTTCTTTTCCTTTCAGGCCCCTGACCAGAGAGCCAGGCCAATGACCACTATCCAGGAACTGTAAATATTTTCACCTCAGGCCATTTCTTCCACATAGAGTTGATAAGGTGCACTGCTTGCAACTCTGTCCATTGGAAAGACTTTCCCTCTCCACTGTCTTTCAAGACTCCCCCACCCGTTTTCAGCTTGTACCCACATACCTAGCCACTTCATCCATAAGCCAAGCTCAAGCTTTTTCTTTCTCCTTCAGCTGGCTTTATGAAAACCCTCAAGTGTGAGATGGGAGAGGGATGCTGGTGCATTGGTTGAGGATGCTAAGTATAAGAACCTTGGACTACCTGTTCGGACAATATCCTCGTGATCTCTGGTCCTACCCAGGCTTGATCTTGCATGTATCAATTCCATCTCTTGGTGAACTACCCTTGGGCCCGTCCAAGTTCACGACTTGGAGGGTTCAACAGAACCCAAATAATGATGGGCAGTTCATGGTCCACAGCCTTCATCTCCACCAATACCCTAGCCCTTCAATATCTGTTTCTCAAAAAGTTTCAAATTTCCTGCCACTTGGCTTGGCCTTATTCCAGAATTGCAGGTGCCTGTACTGTGATTCTCCCACTGGGGTTTGCCAAAAGCTCTATCTTTTCCCACTGCATCCTTCTCAATACTGAGACTTCCAAAGTGGTAGGGTCTGCCCAATTGCATGACCCAAACAGCAGGGCTGCTGTACCTGCTGCAGAGCATTTCCTGCTCTGAGCCCTGCCCAAAGCTGGCAGTTTTCTAAGTCACCCAGTATGCAGGCCAGAGCAATATGCTTATCTGTGGAATGTGTTGTCTCCAGAGCCCAAAAAACCTAACCAGGGTGCTGAGCTTCCTCTATATTGTAGGGATGAAAGATGCACCCATATGTCTTTTACTTTGGAAAAGATATCCTGGCATGCTCTTGACCATTGGACCCGCTAAAAACTCACCAAAGTGGCAGGAGCCTGAATATTTGCAGGGTCTATAATGGAGCTCCCACTTTCCTCAGCCTCGTTATTCCTTCCGCTGATCACAGGGACCAGTGAGTCACGTGGTCTGCACTGCAGCCTGAGCCCGTTGCAGAATCCTTTCCTACTGAGGGCAACTCAGAAATTTCCACTTGACTGAGTGTTTCATTGCTCTTTCCAGACTTCTAAGAACTACCTTAGCAGTGAGTTTGCCCCATTCCCTGAGGTTCTTGAAAATGTTAGATCCTGAGAAAGTTAAATT